ATTTCACAAAGCAACATTCCGCGATATCTTAGAAGATGAACATTTTTAATCTCCTAACTTCGTTCAAAAGAATTCCTGTCGAATTTCCCCAACAATCATAAATTAGCGCCGAAACGAGTGCTTTACTTTTATTTTTGGTAAGACCGGTAGCATTTGTGAAGGGAAAAATTATTATTGCGATTCATTCAATGGGATGAAAGAAAATGGTCAAGCTTAAAATTCTCAAAAATCTTGATTTAAATTAAGAGAAGGAAGCTTTTTTCAGAAAGTATATCATGCTCACACACCAAGAATAGAGAAACTTTCATGATTGAATGAAAGAGTGCATATATGCCATTCTACGCATTTTCAAAACACAACATTAAAGGTTTAATTTGCGTTAGAATATATCAAATAATAGCTTCTCCCAACAAACGCAAACAATTCAAAAAACTTCGAATTAAAAAATGCATACACTAAATGGAAGAATACTTCGGAAAATACTAGTGAGTTTTATCCCGAATCAAACCCTCACGAGAGCAAGTAAACTTATTGAATCTCAAGGGAAAATCACTAAATATTTAAATTCTTTGATCGTTCTTTGAATTTTAGAATATTTACGTTAACACATCCCGGAAATAACAAAGAACATGGTGCCAAAGCGGACCCGAAAGAAACACTGATTTAATGCCTCAACCTTTAAATTTGCAAACAAAATATATTGTCATGAAAATAGGAGACCCAAGAAGTAAGTCTGCGTCATAAATTGATAGAACTGTCGAATAAATATGGTGATCAATAAATATCCAGCTGAATTCAGCTTGGATTCTGAATCAGTCAATTTCCAGGGATCACATTTTTCATCGGAATGGTGCATTCCATCTTAAGAGGAAATATCATTTCATCATAAACTTGTAAACGTCAATCGACGAGGAGATAGGGTCTCATTAAGCATCAAATTCAATTACATGTTAGCCGTCGGAAAAATATTCTCCCATCACATCATGAAACAAAAACACTAGGGACACATAAGAACATCAAAAATCGGATTACCCCACATAACCTTCAAAAAAAGGAAGGAGAAAGAGGCCCTTTTGGAATTACATAACCGACCAACTCAGAGACACACAACTGAGCGCCTGAGCAGATGTAACTACAATACTTGCAATGCACACAAAATAAGTTTAATTTGAGCTCGTCAAAGAAAGCATTAAAACTGTTGAAAAGACAAAACAAATTGCGTGATTTTTTAATGACAGGAATGGTGATGCAGACTCGTAAACTAATCAAGAGGAATGGTCAGCTCAGGTCATGTTCATTTAGCTGACACTCAGTTGGGCGGCGCCCAGTTGTTCTGATCGCTCAATTGACCCCGAATTCTCTGGAACCGGGTTTCCGCACTGATTCCGAGAAAAACGAACGCAATTGACACGAAGTGGTTCCAATAAATGTTCGACCCCGATTTCCCCACGGAAATCTAACGGCATGGCACACACGTTTTTATAACAAACTCATGCGAGCTTCTGGAGAAATCACTCAACAGGAAATGAGTGAAACACACAAATCGAGCAAATTCGTTTCCGTGGCGCTGATTAAAGCATTTTTTTTTTCACGAGCAACACGCCGCGCTGAAAAATAATCGCGCAGAGAAAACTTCGCTTTGGCAACGATTTCAAAAGCGTCAATGTGCAAAACTTGCTGAAAGTCATGCACATCTTAGAAAAATTGGGGTACGGGGAGCAAATTTTAATACAGTACTCGTCATTATTTTATCAATAAAAAGTTATGCCATGCAACCTGTCAATCATTTTTTTAAAGCAACGGTGATTTAGATGAAATCCTCTAAAACAAACAAATATTTTATACCGCATCACGACATCAAATAAAATTGAGCCTGTACTGAATGGACCATGAAAATAATTACTTTTAAGCAAGAATTTATGGTAACAAGATTTCTACTGCATTAAAGTGCAGCCCTGGCATGCGGAAAATTCAACTTATGGACACTCCAAATTAAAAAAAAAAAAAAAAAACGGTGTACCGACATCTGGACCAAGTCTAGAAAGACGGACACCGCCAAAATTTCCAGAAAAATACACAAAAACTCATTTCACAATGTTCATATGTCTTGAAAAAATTAAACGACGCATGTTACCATGAAAATAAAAATTGAATCGCATTTTAAATTTTCTCTCATTCGTTTTCCACTACAGATCTATTTTGTATTGGTTTCTAATCAAATGTTCAAAAGACGGCAAATGTGTGCTTTTTCTTGTTTTTTCCGCCTTCTGAACTCCTCTAAATGCCAAAAAAAAAGGCTCTTAATGCCGAAAATAGGCAGTCTGAGGTGCTTTCTCTGCGTAATCATTTTCTTTCTCAAATAAAAATACGTTTAAATTTAATTTAATCAAACTTTTCCAAACATGAAAAGTGACAACAAATTTTGCCATCGAACTTTTAATGGAAAAATGTGATCTTACACGCAGACATTTCAACATAAGAACCCAGTCTGAGAACCAAATGCCGTCTGCATCTCAAGCCGTAATTGTACATAAGGGTCTCCCGTTAATCAGGTACCCATAACAGTGACAAAATTGAACATCACGGTTCTCTAGTCTTAGTTCCAGCAACAAAAAAAAATGCCACGTCCACGACGCAGTACAAGACTATACTCCCTATCTTGATGCTTCTCCCATTTCGGAAAAAGTGATTGCTGTGTCAGTTGGATAACCTGAGTCGTCAGGGATGAGCCTTACATGTCATGGTGATAAATCGAGCCTCCTCGGATGTGTGCACAACCCGCCCACGCAGCAACTGACAAAGCCAGAGTTATACTGGGTGAAGTCTTGCACTCAGCAAAAAAAAAAAAAAAATCCAATCATCGCGATATGCGCCTAAACTTGTTCCGAGAAACGAAAAAAAAATCGTTGCAAACGTCACAATGTCGGAACTGCGAAGCTTTCGGTGAGTATTTTTTCAGCGGAAAGTGTTGGAAAGTTTTTTTTTTTTTTTACCTGGTCGCGAAAATGGCGAAATAGCGATTTGAGTTCATGGAAAATTCGAAGATAAATATTCGAGATAAAACACTACATGGACAGTATTTTGTCTCGAATTTTCATGAGGAAAACTGACATGAGATGCGGAATTGTTGGCAAGTTAATCAATGATAATTTCCTTCAAAATGAAGGCGGCATTCCAAAATTCAAAACTTACTCAAGAAGTGTGATATCTTCGTGAAATACAGCATCACAAAATTGTCATACTATTTGTCAAACAAAACTTTATTACTATACGATTAAGCGGTTTCAACGTTACTTTGAGGTCAAGTTTTTCAAGTTAAACTGCTGAAATCAAAAATTTCAAAATCACTCCGACTCAGATCATCCAAATAAAATAAATTGTGGAATCTCCCGAGGGTGTAACTCATCTATAACAGTTGTATTGGACACTTGAGATTTCTCAGTTGACGGTACTGATTATTTTCCGGAATTTTTACACCTGCAACAACAATAAATTGTACCATAAAATTCAATTCGAGAACATTCGATGGCGGAAGTTCCCAATCCCTGGAATCTGGGGTGAATTCCTCCAGGCATATAAACTCAGGTTCACAGATTTGTACTTCAGTAGACCAAAAGGAAGATTCGGAGCTCGACAGGAGTTACATTCTGAAGTTGAGAAAAAAAAAAACTCACTTTCTTTGTTAGTCGACTAACAGGAATGGAAAATTTCCGAAAATCTCTCAGGGAGAGAATTGCGCAATCTTGCGAACAGAATCGCGAGCGTGAAACTCATTGCACAGTGTTATTGGGCAATTGATGGCACCGATTTTTATTTCTCGCTATTAGCGCAGCTGTGGGGGTTTTGGCGCAGCTGCACCAGCAATAAATTGCGCCATAAAACTCCGGTGGATAACATTGCATGGCTGAAGTTCTCACCCTCCAAATTTTGGGAGAGTACAGCATGGGGTTCCCCCACACCTTTGAAGTCAAGGTCACATATAAAGAGCCTTGAAACCCCGAAAAAATATTCTAAGCCAAATATGAGACGGAAAAAAAAATACCGATTTGTCAATTTGTGTTCCAGATTTTCAACAGTTTAAAGTTGTGGGGGTTTTCAAATTTTCAATTGCCAAAAATGCCCAGGAAATACTGTACTTTTAAATATTCTGAATATTCAATAACCCTAAAAAACCCCCATCTGAAAATCCATATATCATAAGTATTGCAGGTGAAAATCATTTTATAAAAGTGTAGTAGCTCTGATTTTTTTAATCTTCTATTTCCACAACACGTAATTCTCAGTGAGCGAAACAGGAATTAGGGTATCAACGTTTCAAAATTCTCAAATCCATAAAACTGTAAAAAGCGGAATACATGACTGGAAAAAAATTATGAATCAACTATAGTATTAGAGATTTTAGATTAAATTGCTCCAAGCCTTTTACACCAGGTTCTGAAAATTTATTTTAAAATTTGCATAACTTCATCAAGGAACTAATCCATATTGGATAAACGTCAAAACAGATCGTCTTCAAACTTCCTTCTTGTGACCGATTCCACGAGTATTTTTAAAATATGCTACAATTAATGCAGTAAAATTTTAAAATTGACTCAGCAAAAATTGTTTGATCAACCATTCCCTAGACGCCTAGATGATGAATAAAATCACTCCAACAACGAAATTCTCTTAAAATCTGTCCCATGTGCCATGAATATGCAAGATTTCAGCAAAACAGATGCTGTCAAAGAATAGTACTGTACTGTACATATCTTCCACGGATCCAGGCCTTCAATTTTAACCCCCGTGGTATATTTTTATCCCCATTATCTATTTTCATTTCCTAACCATAATGTTTCGGACACTCGTAGAACTCTTCCAAGTTCAACCGAGGAACTTAGCTGCCAAGTGTTTGGCAGAAACATGAAGTAAAAATGTCTATTTTCGGTCGAGCGCTCGAGTTTATTCCACGAGAATGAAGAAAAAGTACTGCAAACCTTCCGCCGGAAATTTTGAAACTTTAGCCAGAAAAAGGGGATCGTGGTATCTGTATACTATCCTTTGTACTGTACGTATATATATATATAAAAATGTACAATATTTTGTTTTCGCGGATGAGTCGGTGGAAGCAGCAGAGACAGAGAACAATTCCCCTCGCGGGTTCTCGTAACAACCTTCGATCCATTCAAGGACTTTCCCAGCCCAGTACTTCCTAGGCCTTCCCAACATCTCCCCGCAAAAGTGCCCGCAGAAACAAGACAACTATTCCCCCCCCCCCCCTCAAGGACTTGTTTCAAACGATCTCTTCCCCAGCACCACGACCACCAGAGTATCTGCGGGAAAGAAGGCTTTCATTCACACAAGTGCGTGTCCGTCGGTGTGGGTTTCCAATCAAACCCGGGGGTAAAAATAACCCGGGAAAGAGGGTTCAACACATAACTCGGGTTGCGCGCGAGGAGTTCCTATTACGCCCGGTTGCTGCCCGAAATCGTTGGCATGAAAAATGCGTGTGGGCATGGATTGAAAAAAAAAAAAAAATTCAGGTTGAAACGAAGCGGAAACCCGCGAATAAATCAAGATTTTAAAAAATAAGGAACCGTAAAAAATTCCTCGATATCATGCGTTACCCGGATGTCACTAAAAAAAAACAGCAACTTTAATTCAATGAAGTTTCACGCCTTCCAGATATTATTCAGGTTGCAAAAATTCTATGAGAACACGAATTCTGAGATGATGATAATCACAGTCGTGATCTTCTAGGAATCTAGGTCATGTCTCGACTGGTGCAGTATTTTAAATTTTATTGGAATAACTGTGCTCCCTTTTTTGCCCTCCGATATTGACAAGAATCGGAATAGTCAAGTTTAAAATGTTAATTTATTAGGTCCTCATTTTGATTCCACAAGGGTTTGGAATAGACGATCCTGTCTGACCCATTTTTTATATTCCCAGTTTAAAATACAGTACCAACAAAGGCGAAATGAAACTGCTTAAGTCTGTCTAAATTCCCTTAAAAAAATGCATTAGTAAACTCCAGGATTTCCTCCGCAAACCTCCATAGCTCAAATTTTCTGGAGGCATTTCAACGATTTCTTTATTGACGCAGGAAAGAGGTAAGGCATAAAAAGGTAACTTTATTTGTGTTCGAAAGGAAGTCAGAGACTAATCGGAAAATAAATGCCTCAGCATTTTGACAACTCATTCAAGAGGCAATTCAAAGCTTGCAAATTCGCATTTCTCTAACTGGAAATCTCTCCAACTCGAATTTTTCGTTGGTCTTTCGAAGCTCGACTTGAATAAGTTTGACTATACAGTATTTAGAATTGCATGAAATTCATTCGTTTTACAGAGCTGATATGATAAATTGATCAGTAGTCAAAAGTAGACGCCTACTTTTCAATTCATAAACTCGTTTCTATGCAATGTAAGAAAATAAGAGTAAAACTCGTATGTGTGTTTGAAAGTTCATGAGTCATCATCAGATTTCGGCCGTAAAATAATATTCGCCGATTATTACTCGCATAAACATTAATATTTTCTTTTACCTGCGTGTATTTCTTTAATTACTGTATATTCCTCGCGTTATTTCCCCAGTAATGACAAGCACTTGAAAAAAGCACAACTGTACTCACCAAAACAGCCGGGTACAAAACGGTCGCCAGAAGAAACGCGAGTTGCAAAACCAGAGGTTTCTCGCCGGATCCGAGTCCCACCTCAATAATCTCCTCGAATCCCATCACATACCAAGCCAGGAACAAAATTATGGCCAGCACAGCCTATGCAAGAGTGAGTAAAAAAAAAACGAAAAGTTGTACAGTACTGTAATTGAATTGAATGATGAATGGAAAGGGAATAATTCACCTGCTGGGCAGAAACTTTCCAGAAGTTGCGGCTGAGCCACCAGTGACCGATTTCACGACTGACGTAAGCAAGCACTTCTGCGTCCAGTTCTGATGAATTCGCGACAAGTTTGCGGTTCCCAGATAGTTCCGGATTCTCATTGTTGTTTTTCTTGTTATTTTGTTCTTTGCCATTCCGACGAGCGTCTGAAACTTGATCGCAACACGAAAGATATTGCTTGGGGTTACTTGTTTATAACACTGTACTGGTTATTTCGCCCAAGGAAAAGCATTATTTTGTTTTACTCCGCGTGTATTTTCAATTCGAAGCCGGTTCCAAACGAGAAAAATACTCGGCAAAGTTAATTATATACCTAATTAAGGTAATACTGTAATACATACCAGATGAACAGCGATTTTCATCACTCTTTGAAACCTGTCCTCGGAGACAAAAGCCGCCCCAAAGAAGAGCATGACGTGAAACAAACTCAAGTGGCCCAAAGCATTGTTCCGAAGAAGGCCAAAGATGACGGACTGCTGAAGGCATTTAGACTTGCACAGCTTTTGCACAATTTCGACCTCGAGGTCTTTTTAAATCCGTAAAATCGTCCGGATTCCTGGGATGTTCACGGGTATTTCTTGGAGGTGAGGAATGCTTGACTGTTGCAAGACGCCTTCTTGGAATAACTTCCTGCCAGAAAATTTTTTTTTACGGAACGGAAATAATTTAGATTTTCATGTAGTTAGATTTAATATTAAAAATCTTTTTGGAATGTTCACTATAGCCGTACTTGTACTCGTAGGTGAGACACGTCAATTACTATGCCTGGATCTCGAAGTCTCAAATAATTTTTTGACATACTGTATACAGTATATGATTTTTTATGCCAAATTTTCGTGTAAATGTGGTTCTTTCATTTATTTTTGTAGTCTGTAGCAAGACGAAAAGGAATACAAAAACAAACCTACCAACAAAAAAATAAATGCCAAAATACCCCGAACTGAGGAAAAACTCAAATTCTAAAAACGCCCGAATAGTAACTGAACGTCTCCAATGAACATGTGCTTCGTAAAATTAACACCCAGAAAAAAGAAGCAAATCCATGTAAATTTCAGCACGATTTTGTGGGGTACCGAATTGTACTTATAGCTTTTGTTCCGGGGTTTTTCGTCTTAGTGCTTTTTGCGAACATGGCACAGGTCAGAATTTCCACGAAGACGAATTACAAAATCTCTGACACGAAATATCAGTTTGAATGTAGTACGGGATATATGACAGCAAATTTCAAGGGTTTCCTGCAAATCTTGTCCATGTCGACCAAAAAATATTTTAGATTACTTTTCGAAGAAAAAACGGACATATTCGGCTTTTATTTCGCCGTAATAATTTCAAAAATCTCGTGAATTATTCGGTATAAACCGAGGAACATTCAAGGCATTCGTCAAAAAAGGAAAATCCTCGGCAATTACAATAACCTGGAAATCCAGAAATAGGCAAGAATAATCGAGGCCCCAGGCCCAGGAGCGCAGCTCACAACTGCGCTTCGAGAAGGGAAGGGGATGAGAAACTTTGGACAGGAGCCTCTGTTTTCGGCGGGGTTTCTTCTCGTACTGCACTTTGTTTGAGTTCACCGGGTTTCGTAACAAGGCTTCTTCCGGTTTCTACTGCCTGACGACTTCCGTAAATCGCTTGCACAGCTTTTGTACAATTTCGACCTCGAGGTCTTTTTAAATCCGTGGAATCGTCCGGATTCCTGGGATGTTCACGGGTATTTCTTGGAGGTGAGGAATGCTTGACTGTTGCAAGACGCCTTGTTGGAATAATTTCCTGCCAGAAAATATTTTTTTACGTCACGGAAATGATTTAGATTTTCATGTACTCAAAAATATTTTTGGAATGTTCACTAAGCATTACTTGTAGGTGAAACACGTTAATCATTATGCCTGGACGTTGTCTCAAATAATTTTTCTACTATGATTTTTTTTTATATCAGATTTTCGCGTAAATGTGGTTCTTTCATGTATTTTTGTCGTCTGTAGCAAGACGAAAAGGAATACAAAAACAAACCTACCAAAAAAAAAAAATGCCAAAATACCCCGAACTGAGGAAAAACTCAAATTCGAAAAACGCCCGAATAGAAAATGAACGTCTCCAATGAACATGTGACGCGTAAAATTAACACCCAGAACAAAGAAGCAAATCCATGTAAATTTGAGCCCGATTTTGTGGGGTACCGAATTGTACTTATTGCTTTTGTTCCGGGGTCTTTCGTCATAGTGATTTTTGCCAACATGGCACAGGTCAAAATTTCCACGAAGACGAATTAAAAAAACTCTGACACGAAATATCAGTTTGAATGTAGCACGGGATATATGACAGCAAATTTCAAGGGTTTCCTGCAAATCTTGTCCATGTCGAAAAAAAAATATTTTAGATTACTTTTCGAAGAAAAAACAGACATATTCGGCTTTTATTTCGCCGTACTAATTTCAAAAATCTCGTGAATTATTCGGTATAAACCGAGGAACATTCGAGGCATTCGTCAAAAAAGGAAAATCCTCGGCAATTACAATAACCTGGAAATCCAGAAATAGGCAAGAATAATCGAGGCCCCAGGCCCAGGAGCGCAGCTCACAACTGCGCTTCGAGAAGGGAAGGGGGCCGCAAAAGAAAGAAACCCCGGAGCCGGAAACAGGAAATGATCCACCCCACCCAGAAAACACTTGCTCTGGCAGAATTCTGGGAATAAATCGAGACAAGGCGCAGAAATTTCTTTCCTCCGTCTCTCAATCTCTCCGCGTTGCCACGAGCACGCCCACGCAACCCGGAAACAAATGACTTTTGTTCCGCACTTTCCGCGCATCTCGCCAAGTTGCATGTGCAATGTTCCGCGGTCAATCAATCATAATGGGGACGGCCTCTGCGTATTTTCGGGGGCTATATATATATATATAAGCGCAACCCCACTATGGTTCCCAGTTTTGCCTCAGGGATTGTTCAAAAGTTTTAGTCAGGAATATGCAGAACTTTATTGAAATTAAAGGGTTTTTCGGGGAACTAAGCCGGAGTCCTTAACCCTTGATGAGCAGGCTTTTTTTTGTTGCAGATTTTCTCAACTGTCTAGGACAGTGTTCCCCAACCTGTGGTCAGCAGGAAAATTAATAAATTTATTTAATAAAGTAGTAATGAAGTCTGTTATTGCAAACCAACATTTGAGAGACAATGGCAGTTGAAATTATCCGATGATAAATAAAAAAATTTTATTTTTCTCCTAATTAGCAATTCAGACATATTTTCACTGGCTGAAATATGATACTTCCAGTTTTCAACCAGAGAAACTTTTCTTCAAGCCCAGCATCCTATTTTTCAACTCAATTTTTTGCAATAATAGTTTTATTCTGAGGACTGTATGGCAGATATTTTAACATTTTCTGCTGGTCATCCAAAATTGTACACAATGTTGCTGGTCCATGGACAATTTTATTAAAATATGCTGTTCTGCAAAGGATTTTACTTGTGTATACTTTTTATTAATTGTTTTATTAATTTTTTTAATAAAAAGGAACAGTAAAATTCAGCTGAATTAGCTGGAAAAGATTTCTTGATTTCGTCAAGGCAGGTCAAGTCAGATTTTGTTGACCTTCGATATTAGCAAAACTGATGTCCAGCATACCCGAAAGTTTGATTTAGCTTTAATGTGGAATTCGTCTTTTTTTTAAAGAAACTTTTGGAGTTGCCTCGAATGGCATTTTTATTGCGTCACTTCTACCAGTTAGTAAATTTCCATTAGGTCATGAAACGTCGCAATTCAGGTCACAGAAGTAGCTCTTTTTTTTTTGGCGAGCGAATTCCTGGATGGATCATTCGTTTTTGCCGTCGGTGAGAAATCGCATTTCCAGTTCAGATCCTTTCCACAAAAATTCCCGACTAACGGGTACCAACAATTCCCGGATCACAAGGAGCAACTCGAAAGGAATATTTTTCCTGAGAAACATAACTTACGCAATGTTTACAACGGAATGTATCGATTATCGATTTTCGCATTGTTCCTTTTTACGCAGTCCCTTGAACACGCAATATTTCTTTATTAAATTGTATACGTCTTGCAAAAGACAAAAACACTTGGAGCAAAATGGTGTTCGAGAGATGGAGTGCAAGTGTGGGTTTTGGGTTGGGTTATCGATTTTTGCTGACCTTGGAATCAACTGGATCCTAAAACAGAATTCAATTGTTGGGTTCCTTCCTGCTTTTTCTGATGCATGCTTAATTTATTTTGGCTTGTGCCTGCCCTCTTGTCAAATGATTATTTACTCTTAAATTCTAAGAAAGTCGTGATTACTGCCCTTATTTCTGCTCATATCACTTGCCTTTTCGTTAACTATGTGCCCTTCTTACTTCAACAATTTCCATATAAGAGAGGATTCTTTTGATCCCGAGACAGAGCCAGTTTTTCGTTCAACTTTAAATTTCGCTCAGAAAATGATTTTGTCAATGAAATAGCATTTATTTTGTAATGCGTGACTCTTCTATAGGAACTGTTTAACATCACTTCGTAGTACAGTTTTTATTTAAGCAATCACCTCATCAGCTTTGGACATTGATGAATTTCACATCATCAAAACTGCGCCTTGGTCTGAAAAGCTCTTTAATTATTTCATATGTATCCTTTGCCGACCTTCACGAAATTTCGATTTTCTTATTCTTCCGAATGGATATATAAAATTGGAAAGGAAAATTATATCATGAAGCACAGGCTCCGCGGAAATTTGTTACAGTATTTTCGTGTTTCTCCTTTTGGAACACTCATTTTGTCAGTCAATGAACTATTTCCCTTGACCTAAGAACCAGCTTTTCTGATAAGCTTGATTCGATTTTTTTTGGTTGCAAATAGGCGTAAAAGCTTTGGACCAGCATTTAAAATTTGGTCAAGTCATGTACTGTAATGAGGAGAAATTACTGGAAGAATAAAAATGATTTCTTGATACTCCCTTCAGGTAAAAGTCCAAAAGGAAGAGTTTCCATCGGAACACTAAACCGGAAATCAGAATTCTTATTGATCCTCCTTAAAGTGCTAAAATTACAAATGCATCGTTAAAGGCCAGCAAGTCATCAAGTAAAAAACTCTGATTTTTAAAAATTCCAGATAAATTTGGCATTGGCAACTACGGACCACAGAAAAGTAAGGTTGAAAAAAAAAATGCGGAGGAAATGGGGTCAGAAGTAGGCGCTAAGCTATAGGGAAAACTCGAGCATCGCCGGAAATGACGGAGGGTCAGCAGGCTAGCGTTTCCGGTCCGAGACCGGATAACGGTTGCGTGGGCGGGTGATGGTGTCAACCAGCGACCTGAGGTCAGGCGTCGCTAATTGACCTGTCACACAGCGAGGGGTCTGAGTTTCGGCAAGTGTCAAGAACGCCGAAAAACTCGCCGCGGAATAAGACAAGTACAACTTAGAGTCGCGCGAGTTAATGAAGAAAGTGGGCGGAAGATTTTGACCTCAACTTCTCCGAGTCAAGAAAAAAAGGTCATAGGGTTCAGAGAGACGTAAATTCGTGGGCAGAAAGCAGATGCGTTTTTACCCGAGATAAAAGACGGATTTTGCTATTTTTTTTTACATTGGATTCAGGCTCTTCAAATCGTGGGCTCCTGGAGAAATTGTTTGTTGCTGTGAGAAATGAGGCATCCATAAAAATTCCTCTTTGATTACATATTTGAAAATATCGTTTATTTTCCAAGTTTCCAAATCTTCTTGCTTTCATTTTATGATTCAAAATTAGCGGTTTATATTCGCTGATAAAATGAGGGTTCCCGATACGTTAGAGAAATTTCTCTCATGATAAACTAATTTCACTGATCGTTGAAATATAATTCTCAAAATTTATAAAAAAAATAATTGCAGCGTTATTCATTCATTGAAAACGACAATTCAACAAAAATTAAGGTTTGCGCATCACATTACCGTAAATGGTCCAATATTAACCTCAATGCAAATTTTGTGCATTTTATTCTTCTCAAATAACAATCATTTTCTTCACCTGAACAGTTGCAAAAAATTTCGGTTCGGCAATCGTGAAATCCCTTGCAAATTCTGAATAACGCATGAAAGCGATTCATGTCAAGTGGAGGGAAAATGAACATTGAATTTATTTGAACATGCGTCTAGAATATTCACAAAACTTTGTTACCAATAAGTGTCAAAAACGGTGGAAATTCCGAAAATTTCTCGGAAATTTGGAATTTCCACGCAGTTTTCACATCAAGAAAGCTATAAATAGAGGAAGTTGGCACGTGCAAGCGATTCAAACCCATTTCGCTTCAAATTAATCGGAAATACTGCGACGGAAAGTTCAAGTTTAACCTTGCAATGCATGGAAATTCCATAATACGGAATGTTTCTCATTCCAATGACAAATGAGATCACGGCAAATTTCATAAGTTTAAATAAATACCCGGCATTTTACACGCGTCGAACGTTTAGATAACATAAGTTCTGCCTGACAAAATGTAAAGGAGAATAAATGTTCTCTCCGTATTGCAGCAAGAAAGTCATAACAACTGTAAAACTTTCACATAAATCGGAATAGATCTGAAATAATCGAACGCAAGCTAGAAAATAAACCAGAGCTTCCAATCTTCAATTACGAAATTTTCGGTCTTTCCTACTGCCCCGAGAATCCAGACGCATATAATACAATTTTACGCGAAATTCTCTCAAAATTTTCTCAAAAAAAGTCAGGGAGGGGGAAATTACTTTCCACAAAATTGTTTCAGCAGTACATAAACTTTAGCTATTCACGAAGGGTGCGCGGAACCAGGACATAAACGGTAAATTCTCCAGCAAAATTAAATCAGCGTTCGTCATAAATAATGGACAATGAAATTCATACAATTTTCAAAAAATCTTCAGACAGCGCTACTCATTCCAATGACAAATGAGATCACGGCAAATTTCATAAGTTTAAATAAATACCCGGCATTTTACACGCGTCGAACGTTTAGATAACATAAGTTCTGCCTGACAAAATGTAAAGGAGAATAAATGTCCTCTCCATACTGCAGCAAGAAAGCCATAACAACTGTAAAACCTTCCCATAAATCGGAATAAATCTGAAATAATCGAACGCAAGCTAGAAAATAAACCAGAGCTTCCAATCTTCAATTACGAAATTTTCGGTCTTTCCTACTGCTCCGAGAATCCAGACGAATATAATAAAATTTTACGCGAAACGCTCTCAAAATGTTCTAAAAAAATTCAGAGGGGACTTTGCTTTCAACAAAATTGTTTCAGCAGTATATAAACTTTACCTATTCACGAAGGGTGCGCGGAACCAGGACATAAACGGTAAATTCTCCAGCAAAATTAAATCAGCGTTCGTCATAAATAATGGACAATGAAATTCATACAATTTTCAAAAAATCTTCAGACAGCGCTGATTTATAACTTTAAAAATGTTATTATTTTTTTTATCAAACTGGCTTCTTGTTGATTTCCTAAAGGCGATAGAAACTAGAACACCCTCTTTATAAATCTTAAAAACCTTCATAAGAAACCAAATCGCAATATTTTATCATTCTCCATCTAGGTTATCCCGAAAAATGTACTTTACATGGATAGTAAAATATTTGACAGCTTAAAAATTTCGCGATTTAAGCTGTTCGCTATTTAAATTTTTATTTCCCCACTTATTCGTCCTAAATTAAAAAAGAAGAAGAAATGAACTCACCTCTTCTCGAAGCGCAGAAACGTCGTCATCATCAGGCTCTTCAACTCGCAAAACCTCTGGATTCTGTTGCGGCAACTGCGAAGCATCATTTTCATTGCCATTCCGAATCGTCGAATTCGGCACACGGCCAGATTTTTGCAGGTCAGCGTGGCTCGGAACAAGACAAACATCGTCTTCGATTTTGGCGTACTGTTTGGATTTCGAACCAAACGACGGCTGACGAATGTCTTCAACAAGAATCTCCCCGTCCTGCATTCCGCGAAATTGATTCATCATTTCAGGGTTGAAAAATAATGTTTCCGTTCTGCTGTTGCTGCCGTCTGCTGATTGCGAACGACTTTGTTGAAGGTCCGGTTGCTGAATCTGGAATAAAACAACGAACGAATGTTTGCGCAATTGACGACAAATGTTATCCCTCGTGATTATTAATCCTTCTTCGCATCCAGCTGAAATAACTAGAGGAAATTAGCAACTCACCTGCACAACGACATCCTCAGCATCGACGTGCAACAGACCCACGGAAAATGTCCTCTTCAACTGCAGCCCGTTTTCAACCAAGTCTGAATTCTGATCCGGAAGTTGAGGAAATGGTTCCGAAGACCCAAATGCCAAAGAAACTTCACTCGTCGACGTCGCCATCACAATGGGCTCACTTGACACATTGTCAAAATCATCATTGGCTTGTTCTTGATGGAGTCGACTTGGGCCTAAGGAAGTGTCGAACCCATCTGTTTGGGGTTGAGACCCCGGGGAATCCACACTACTTGAGTGAATGGCCATTGTTGCAGTCAATGTCGTTATATGCTGTGGTTCGTTATTTGCTGTACAAGAAAAGAAAAAGCCGACATCATTACTGCACTTGATTGATTTTTTTTTTCTTTCTAGAAATACAAAAGACTCTGCTGCCGATGACGAAACAATCCCCATAAGACTCCGGTATCTTCCTTTGAGAAAGAAGTATCAGATACGAAAGAAAAATTCGATTGGTGCAACAATTAATTCCCCATCTTATCAACAGCAAGAAATATTGTCCATCAATTCTTTTACAAATGTTTTTTCCTAACGGACTGTTTACAAAGTATGTCTTCATTCTGAAGTTTTTCTAATTTGAAAACTCACCATTTCCGAAAACCTCGCAAGACGATAAGCTGAACTTCAACTAAATGCCATTGATAATTTTATTGTACCGTAATACAACCTTTATTTAAAACTAACGACTCTGATTTATCACGTGTTGAAAAAACTATTTTACGCATTATTAAGACGATGTATTTCCGGGCAGTTGAATTACAAAGAAAATATGGGTTTAGGAGGAATAGAAAAACATTCATGCTGTAGAACAAATTTTTTTCTCGTAAAAAATTACTGTAAATAAAAATAAAAAAAACTTCCGCACTAAAAAAAAGAAAATATGGGGTTTAGGAGGAATAGAAAACATTCATGCTGTAGAACAATATTTTTTTCTCGTAAAAAAAATACTGTGAATAAAAATTTAAAAAACTTCCGCACTGAAGGATGCAATCGTGTCTCCAAAGAATGACGAGCCTTGATTTTTCCTCCAAAAAGTGCAAAAAAACCCTTTCACGGCATTTTTCCTTCAGTGAATTTTTTTTACTCAGACATTTTAAAACGACGATAACTCTAGAAATCTTAAAATCCTAATTTCAGTTGATTCATTTTTGATTTGAAGATGTCCGCAATTCCAGTAAATCCAACACTGTGAACTCATGCCACTAATAGAAAATGCAATCCAAAGGTACATCGTTTCAGGAAATAAATTATTGCTCGGTATTTAGTAGGGTTTATTCCTGGGTTGACCTTCATGCCGGAATGGATGCCTGAAATTAGCTTTAGGGCCTCACGAAAAGGTCACATATTTTTTTTGTGGGAGACAAGGTGGAAAAATAAGGAAACGACATTCCCACGAATTCCGTCAATGACTCATTTTTTGGGACTTTTAAGACGCAAAGTATCCGAGAAATAATTCAACAAAAATTGTCCCAAAATACGCGGAATTTCCAGAACAGGCTTCAAGAAAATCAGAATGTCTTTTACACACTGTTGCCATGAACGCAGTCGAAGCACGTTACCGAGAAGAAATTGGCACACACGACATTTGTCCATTAGGGTAAGTCTCACCTAGTTGTTCGCTGTTGACAGTGTCGTCACCGGATTGACCTGACGGGTCATCAGCGATCCCCAACTCATCACTGACCTCAGTAGAGTCGTTTTCGTCAGCGTTTTGACCCCCAGGTGGCCGTGATATACTTGGCTGGATCTTCGGGTAGATTGATTCGGAATATTTTGCATTCGAGCAAAATATCCGCATCTTCATCCTTATTTTCCTGAAATTTTTAGCATATCGGAGTCATAAGAGTCTCATTTTCTCCCAATTGTACCCTGACATGTTCGGAAACTGCGCGGGTGTGGCTTTAAAAAGTACTGGAGCCCTAAAAACAAATTAGCCATAATTTGATTGATTTCCCGTTCTAGATTCCCTTGGAAATAAAAACAGATTTCGGCAGTCTTCAGTCCAAATCCTACCCCAGCAGCACGCAAACATCTCATCAGCACGCAAAAGTACCCCACAGGATTTGATCAGCATCAATCTTGGAAATTAAATCTCGGAAAGGAAAATTAGGTACTTTCCTGTTATCTCAGTACCTCATTCCTAGACCGCACTACCATCCAGACAAATCTTTAGGACAAGTTCATGACCACAACAACCTACCAGAAACTGTGAATTTTATTTTTCCGCATTCTGCTGAAACTGTTTTTGGGAGGCGGTTAGGTAAAGTTAGGTTAGGTCAGGTTATGTTAGTTACAAATATCTTTTAACAAACATAACCTGACCTAACCTAACATTACCTAACCACCTCCCAAAATCAGTTTCAGCAGAAACCCAAAAATGCAGGAACTGATTTTGGGAGGCGGTTAGGTGAAGTTAGGTTAGGTCAGGCTAAATTGGTCAGAGGGAAGGTGCAGAGATAACAGGAAATTAGGTACTGAGATAACAGGAAAGTAAAAAAAATTATTCCAGAGAATAGGATTGCGGAAATGCAACAGGATCTCAGGGAAATAATCTTAATCCACGGAAACCACGCGCAGGATTATTGACCTTGCAAGTCCTGTCATCCCGTTGACTTCCAGGGGCATTTGTTCCAACGACAATCTAATTATGACCGGAACATGTTTCTCTGCTCAAGTGACAGAATTTGAGTTCACCCGAGGAAGTAGACATGATTTTGAACTTACATAAGCGTTTTCGCGGCAGCCGCAGGACTCTAATTTCAACCCCGAATAAGATTGTCGCCAAAAATACAATATAAATTCATTTATTCAATTTGATACATTTGATAAACAAAGAAGAACCTTTCCACGAATCTGGCAGTTTATAACCAATGCCAAAATACGATGGTCGGGTAAAATAATTTTTGCCAAAATTGTGCCCTTCTATCTTGAATGCGGTATTGGATACAAATAACTTTTTTTTAATGAATATTTAGTCTTTATTAACCGTGTTCCAATTTTTCGAACGCAAATCGGAATGGAGAGAATAAGGAAAATTTAAATCAACCTGACGCAACTGCATGTTTTACAGTCACAGCGGAAAGAATACTTCAGATAATTGTAAAAAGTTACACGAACATTTTTAAAAATGAAAAAGTGTTCCAACAATATTTACGTAAATCTCGGTTGCGAAATCCGTTGCATGAGCGAATTGCCTCACAGCTGAAATTGAAGAAATTTTCTTATATAATTGCTTGAACAAGAATGTTGTGTTTAATCACAGATGTTAGGAGGGTTTTCACGCATTAATATTTTTTCAAAGAACGAAACCAACTTAATTTCAAACAAGGAAAAATGAGTAAAATTTTAAATGGGATGAAAAAATTAGCAAACGAATGATGCGTCTAACCGAGAAAAAAAAAAACTCCTTGGCGTAAAAATGAATACTGCACATGCAAAAGTGGCCTCTAACCTCATTTGGAATCAAACACAAATAGAACCAAATGTTTAATTTAAAATTCTTTCTCATGTGGACATTCAATAGACAGGAAAAACTAATTTTATTTGGTTACTTCTTTCTCGCATTCCGGAATGAGAAGAAAATTTGCATTTCATAAAAATGCAAGAAATTATAATTGCTGCGTTTTACAGCGTGAACTGTTCATCTTCTGTTAGTACTGGAAAATGCGAAAATATTCTGCGAAAGCTAAAAAGAAAGAAAAAAAAAAGAAGTGAGAATCCGATTGACACGAATGTATCGAAGACTTGTCGAGGCCAGTGATGATTTTCGCCTTTCTTTCGGGTTCAAAATAAACGAGACGCGTATACGAGTGATCGACGTTGACCCCGACTTGACATTTTCGGCTCATTAGAAGTGCTGCTGTGCAGCTGCCATTGTATTTGACATGACCTGGATTTATCCCCCCCGCCCTCGAGGCCATTTTGTCCTGAATTGTTGAAAACACGCAATGAAGCCTTTTCTGAGAAACTGAGTCACGCGCAAACAATGATTCCTCCATTTTTCAGCTTCCCTTTTTTCATGTATTCGTTAACATGTTTATCACATACGAGTGAATACCGCATTAGTTACGAATCCCGAGTAAACCACACCCTTTGAAACAAGAGTAATATTTACAATTCTATAATCTTTCATAGCAACTAAATTTTTCTTTCGAATTCGATGAATATGAAGAACAGCAAGCTAGAAAAATGTCGCTTTCACGGTAATAATTTTCCAACGTAGGCAAAAATTAACCTCGTAAACATCTGAAGTTTTACGCATATTATTCCAAAGAATCTTGCAGAACTAAGCAGAAAATCAAAAGTTGCACCAACAGTATTAATCAAAATATCTCGTCTGTATTCAGACAAATTAAAGCGAGATTATTTTCAACAATTATACAGTAATGGCATATGACTTTGAAGCAGGAATTGGTTCTACTGATTTTCGAAAGCATAAATTTTCACTACATCGCAGTTTTTTAATTAAAACTCACAGCAGTCTGAATTCTGAACGCAAGTGTTTGATTCCAGGAAGAAAACTTCCGCCAGCAATAAAAATTGAGAATGCGCAAAACTAATAATTTTTGTTTTCTACAATCAATATCAGCACTATTGAGAGTCCTGAAATCCAATTGTTTTTATGGATTCATGCCAATTTTGAGACGCACTTCAATTATTTTTTCAGATCAAGAATTAATATCGGTTTTGACGCACGACTCGTTCGCGAAGTCAAGTCTAGTGCAGACCAGAACCCTAAAAAGATAACACGTTAATTTGCATTGTAAGAGGAGAATCCTTGTAAAAGGTAATCAATCCTCAGTCAAACTTTTTTTCCACAATTATACGCGTATAGGCGGAGGAACAAACATTCGCAAACAACAGAAACCATGAGAGAGAGAGAGCACGCCGATAAGTGAGTGAGAGACGAGAGATTCCTTCAAGGGACTCGGCCCCTACATCAAAAGCAACCCTCGGGCCCGGCATTAATGAGCCTTTCTTCAAAGAACACACACACACACACACACACGCGCTGAAATTTAGCAAAAGAGACTCACCTCGCCTCTGCACAGAACCGGAAGGAAGGAACCCGCGGCCAAATTCCGCCTCAACGCGCATGCAGCAGCATTGACTAAAGTTCTGCACGCAGGAATTTCGAAACGTGAGCCCCGAGGGCATTTGCCCACGCATTCCTTCCCCGAAACGCAAAATTCCGGCGTAACGCCGCAGGCAATTCATTCGAATGACGGCGGCTTTAATTAGCCGTGCATGCAAAACTGTGTGGAAATTCTGCGATGAATTATAGAAGGTCTTTATAAAAAAAAAAGGTCACTACAGACGAGAGGAATTATTTGCGTCTGGATTCTGTGTGGCACATGAAGGATGAAGTGGGAGAAACGAAGAACTGGAAGGAAGCAACTCGGGAGTATTTCGGCGAACATTTTTTTTTTCCGTCACTCAACCCATGTGCCAAAATGCTTGCCATGTTCCCCGAAGCGAGGGGTTTCTGGAAATTTCCTCCGAAACGATAATGTAACAGCACATTATCTCGTATAATTAATTCCGAGAACACTCTAATGAAGCAGAGAACCACAAATTATCGTGTCTCGCGGTGGCTCATTCGGCACCCACAAAATCCAAGTACGAATCACTGCAAATTCTCCGAAGTACAAACTTGATTATGAGTTATGAGTACCTCTAAATGTCCAGATTGAAAATACGAGGGGATTTCAGAAAGTCCCCAGACTTCGGCTCAGAGACGAAAGCTGCCAACGCAGAAAATCCAAAGCAATATCCTGAATTTAAATTCGCCAAAATTTTTGCAATTTCTAAACATAGAGATGTGCATGTTTTCGAAGTTTTCCATGCGCTTTAAAAATAATTATTATTCAAGTACTTTTATTCACATTAGGGATTGGGGAACACCGTTCTAAATTATGTTGAAGACTTCGTAATCTGTTTGGGATTTATTAAAACGAAAACAGCTTGAGATAAAATTCTTACCTGCTTGGTAAAGCTAGAAAAGAAATATGATCCTGATTGATAATAAATTTCAACTTTTACAAAATTGTATCCTCCAGCTTGTATTAGATAAAAGCTTGGTCTCATGTTGCTGTAGTTACGTGACTTCATGAATCTAAAAAGTAATCCTCATTTAACTAATTTTATTGACAGTGTAGTATTAGGACATGCTTGTGCTGGATTATGCTTTATGTGGCCTCAGCAAATTTCGACGATGACTTCTTGACCTTGAGCATAATTGAGCAACACAGGTTCTCGAAACTGGTTTTCGGGCAATTTCAGCCAAATCCACATTAATATCAGTTCATTACACACTTGAAGACGTTCCAGAAATTGGGTTTGGCAGAAAGCGGAGATGAGATTCGTCATGTGTCTGAGTCTGCTTCAGTTTGACACATTCGATTGATAGGAACAATTTTCAAGAGGTAAAAGAGAATTTCGTTAATCGTTTTAAAGCAGGAGAGCCTCGGGTGAAAACTTTCGAAGGTTTTTTTTTTCGGAACACAAGAAACTTTCCTATAAGCAGCAACCTTCAACGATCTTTTTGTCATTTCATTTTAATGTTTTCTAAATTCCTGTTAATTTTAAAATTTACTCACGCTTACGCGTGGCAATCGGAAGTGCGTCTGCGATGCTAGGCGAGTTCCGGGGTTTTGTAAGAGGGCCGGAAGTTTTTAAAGAATCGACGCTTTCCGTGGCGGCCGACGGTGGCGGCTTCCGTGGGCTGGGAGGCGACACCGGCGACTGCGACGGCGGCCACGATGGCGGCCCGATGACAAAATTCTTGGGACCCACTTGTAACGAAAGAGCCGACAAAACTGCAATACTTTTTTGGCTTTGCTTCCCGATTTGGCTCGGAACTCTGCTCAGCATTTGGCACGCCGGAAAATATCAGGTGTGCCAATTTACCCTCTTTAAACCGCGAATCACACATTGAAGAGCTTGAATTGATTCAATTGAGTTATTATCAAGATACTGTACTACAGTAATGAAAACTCGAAAATAAAAAATTCAAGAATGGCCTCATCATGAATAATCACAATCCGCTGAAATTGCAACGATTTTGCTTCTTAGGTTATTTATTTCAAATGCCTCATCCCAGTTGATAATAGTAAACCGGATAATTTGAGTTTTACTAGACACATGGTCAATGTTTCACTTGGAGCTAACATTTTTATTGCCACTCATTATCGAAGGGCTTTTTTGAAGTCGTATTACATACAGTACGACGTTTTTTTGGAATTGTGTAACTTTTTAATAATGCAAGCACAATCTATCTTCAAAAGTCCATCCAAAAAATATGCAGATTTCTATGATCACCTTGGACGTACGATTTCTTCGTTCATTGCTGAATTCTTCAGAGAAAAACGAAAATATACACGAAGAATGGGTCATTTTCTGTATTTATCGAGGCATAAAAGTTGCTAGGTCACCATTGGAATCATAATCGTTCTCTTATAGTTACTGCGTCGAAAATTCTTGAAAAATTATGATTCTAAAACATCCTTCTGAAATTTAATTTGTTTTGCCTGGCTGACTATACTTTTAAGTCAGTTGAAGGCGCGTGAAGCCAAGACAATCCTTGGAGGAACCATTTAACTTTCCCAATAAACCACATTGAGATTTTTTATCGTTTTTCTTTTAGTTAATGGACATACTGTTTCTATGAATGCGACGAAAGTCGTAGAATTTGTCATTTTTCGAAGCATCATGAAATTGAGTTACACTTCTTTGGAAGTCACACCTCCAACCCTAAAAAAAAAAAACACTTCTTGAAAATATAATCCACTTCTTCGGTCCACAGTAGCGTAAGGGAGAATAAATCGAATAAATTATTTGATAAATAATATAATAATGAACGTTTGTTCACGACAAAAACAATTGGGACCTGGCAAAAATATTTGTTTTGAAAAATGTCTTGTTAGAAGACTCAAATGTCATGTGGACGACAGTATACTGTACCGCAGGAGATTTGAACGATACTTTGTTTGAACAATAACTGAATGCAATAATGGCATTGAATGTAAGATGACGTAATCATTTTAATGTACTTAGTATAATCCAATAAAAATTAAGCCATTCGGACCTCAAAGGCCTTCGTCATAAAAGTCTTCATACAACCAATTTACTTTTTCTGATCTCATTTCTTTCGTTCCAAAAAGATTCCTCTTCTGTCTTCAAGAAGCCGAAACTTTAAACAAATTCTGAAATATCGCGGAAATTTTCCATTTACAGCAGTGCAGCCCTATATTTGGATTGATTCACTGCCTGGAAAAGTACGATAAATATTGTTAAACGAAACTAAATGCGCATTGCTTCTGCGCTACGAATCCATTTCCTTCTCCAGATAACTTCGACGTGAAGAAACGGAATCACAGACCTGATAGAACGACATTAATTCTACTGTCACTAGTGTGATGTCTTGACCTGAATCCAAGCTACGATTCAAGACAAGACTTTTTATCCAGAAGAGACAAGTGAACTCCGTAGAGTTAATATCAGGTCGGAGACTGGGTGCCCTGTTTATTGCCGGAAAAGGTGAGAGTTCACACCAGCTTCTCGCAATCCCACCAAATGCTGCTGCAAAGAGGATTTTGTTCAGGATGCGTATTCGAAGGAGATAATCAATTCGGGGCGAACCAAAAATCCTGGAAATTCACAAGTCCATACTTATAATTTTAGGAAATCATCTTTGACGAAAAGGGTTGTTGTTGATGAGAAAGAAAAATGTAAAAGGCTTGGATTTCTTCCGCAAATACGTTGACAGACACTTTTGCCGAGTTCTTTAAACAGTTTCAAGTTTTTGGTCTTCATGGAACAGAGAATAAAAGTTTAGGCCTGCTGAATGAGTTTCGATAATTAGGTGGATTTTGTCTTCCCGTGTGGAGCGAATTCATTTCATTTCTGCGCAGAATTTTAAATTCTTTCCATATTTGTGCTGTCTAAAAATCGAAATGACTCCTCTTCAAATATTTTAGTAGCATTAAGTTTGTAGATTGCATGCATTGAAGGCATCTTCGTATTATTTGAAGTCTTCAAAATTATATCTTTCATATATTACTGTCAAGTAAAATCAAGTTTCATACAACTTGCAATCTTGCTTTTTGAAAAATGCTCAGGTTCCATCCTGTGCCATGTCACCATTGTAGAAAATAAATAAATGGCCATAATAATTTTGAATGACGGAGTACTCTCAACTAACGAATAATTTTCCCAAAACATAATACTTTTCCCAACCTTGACAATTGGCAAGTTCGCAGAAAACATTTTCAGATTTTTTGCTAGTCGTCTGCCATTTTCTGAAAAGTCGCGCAACACTGCAATTCATGATGCCCGCAAAAATTGAATCAAGAATGCATTTTAAAAAGTGGTACGCAGTAACAGAGGAAATATTCAATAATTTATTCTATTCATGACCTTATATCGAATCAGGCCTTCAGTCTTTTAACTTATTCTCACGAATTCGCCGATTTCATCCGTGACTACGGGATTTCGCAGAAAACATTTTCGTCTTCGGTCTTTCGTGCCTTTTTGGATGGATCATGCAATTTTACCGAGTATTATTTGAGCATTCCTTAACTGCCTTATCTCTTTTGCTAAACCCTATTAGTTCAGAGAAGACATCAGAAGGGGGGGGGGGTGGAAATTTACCATGTTCCTGAGGGTACAGGTAACATCAGATTAAAATGTCACAAAATGAAATGAGTTTAAAATGTCACGAAATGAAATGAGATTAAAATGTCAAGCGTCCATCTTTCCCGCATTTGCAATTGCTTCAAGTACTACCCGATAATTCGAAAATCCGTAAGTATTTCGCGTAAATTTCTGAAGCCTGATAATTATTAATGATGCAAAAAAATAGTCCTTATTTTATTTTTTCGAGTGATAATGAATGAGTTTACTCATATATTTACAGCAATAACTAATGCATCGAAGAGAATGCTTTGCAAATATTTTTTGTCTGGTTTCTAATCTAGTCCACAGTTGTTTGTTTTTTGTTTTTGTTTTTGTCTAGTAGTCCACTATGAATTGAATGATACCGATTCGGAGAGGCAATTACCCACAACTCTTTTTTATTTAAATACAGAACATTGATGGAATTTTTGAATCATTCTTGCATCGTTCAATATTTTTTATCGCAACTTCAGTGAGAAGAACCAGGGGAAACTCATAAAAGAAAATATAAATCGAAAGCAGGTCTGATGAATCGTACAAAGATTTCCTTTACCCCCAGATTACAACGAAATTTTCTTTTTCGCGAACCTCCAAGACCTGTGGTGGATTGATGTGCAAGGTCAGCTTAGCCTCACGATTCCATCACAGGACTAATGAGAAGATTGGACAGGTGTAAAAGGTTCGACGTTAAAAAGCACCCACTTTCCAATACCTTCCATCGCATCGTTTCCTCGAAACGCAAAAAAAAAGAGAACAATTTACAAATGCGAAAGCACACGAACGAAAATTCAAAAATGAGCAAACGCAAAACATAACGAGTATCCACTTGAACTAGCCTTTAATCTAAAGTAATCAGATGCTCTTCTGACGTTTTCCTTTTTTATTCGTGCGCTCTTTCAAAAATTGCAGGCAATGTGTAGACTCTTTTTTTTTTAGCAAGAATTGTTAGGCCGAAAAAACTTGGAAGTTTTCTTGGGGTAAACTCGGCTCATCACAAACCCTCATTTATTTTTTATTAAAGATCAAAAAGAAAGTTTTACATCACAATGATTTTCAACTCACAGAAGTGATATTTCACATGTTCTATGTGGAAAGAGAGAAAGTTTATGGCATACTTTTGATATGCTGTATAATATTCTTTTGAATGTATTGCACGCATCGGACTCGAGTATGTTGTGTTTTTNTGTTCAGGATGCGTATTCGAAGGAGATAATCAATTCGGGGCGAACCAAAAATCCTGGAAATTCACAAGTCCATACTTATAATTTTAGGAAATCATCTTTGACGAAAAGGGTTGTTGTTGATGAGAAAAAATGTAAAAGGCTTGGATTTCTTCCGCAAATGCGTTGACAAGAAAGTGACAGATACTTTTGCCGAGTTCCATGTGAGTAATTAAGTTTAGTACTGTACAGTTCTTTTAAACATTTTCAAGTTTTTTCATGGAACAGAGAATAAAAGTTTAGGTCTGCTGAGTGAGTTTAGATAATTAGGTGGATTTTTTCTTCCCGTGTGGAGCGAATTTCTTTCAGTTCTGTGCAGAATTTGAAATTCTTACAATATTTGTGCTGTCTAAAAATCGAAACGACTCCTCTTTTATATTTATATTTATATATTTTAGTAGCATTAAGTTTGTAGATTGCATGCATTGACGGCATCTTCGTATTATTTGAAGCCTTCCAAATTGTATCTTTCATATATTACTGTCAAATAAAAGCAAGTTTCATACAACTTGCAATCTTGCTTTTTGAAAAATGCTGAGGTTCCATCCTGTGCCATGTCACCTTTGTAAAAAAAAAATTGCCATACTAATTTTGAATGACGGAGTATTCTCAACTAGCGAATAAATTTCCCAAAACATAATACTTTTCCCAACCTTGACAATTGGCAAGTTCGCAGAAAACATTTTCAGATTTTTTGCTAGTCGTCTGCCATTTTCTGAAAAGTCGCGCAACACTGCAATTCATGATGCCCGCAAAAATTGAATCAAGAATGCATTTTAAAAAGTGGTATGCAGTAACAGAGGAAATATTCAATAATTTATTCTATTCATGACCTTATATCGAATCAGGCCTTCAGTCTTTTGACTTATTCTCACAAATTCGCCGATTTTATCCGTGACTACGGGATTTCGCAGAAAACATTTTCGTCTTCGGTCTTTCATGCCTTCTTGGATGGATCATGCAATTTTACCGAGTATTATTTCAGCATTCCTTAACTGTCTTATATCTTTTGCTCACCTTATCAGTTCAGAGAAGACATCAGAGGGTACAGGTAACATGAGATTAAAATGTGACAAAATGAAATGAGTTTAAAATGTCACGAAATGAAATGAGATTAAAATGTCAAACGTCCATCTTTCCCGCATTTGCAATTGCTTTAAGTACTACCCGATAATTCGAAAATCCGTAAGTATTTCGCGAAAATTTCTGAAGCCTGATAATTATTAATAATGCAAAAAAAATAGTCCTTATGTTATTTTTTTCGAGTGATAATGAATGAGTTTACTCATATATTTACAGCAATAACTAATGCATCGAAGAGAATGCTTTGCAAATATTTTTCATCTGGTTTCTAGTCTAGCCCCCAAGTATTATTATTTTTTGTCTATATTAGTCCACTATGAAGTGAATGATTCCGAATCGGAGAGGCAATTACCCACAACTCTTTTTTTATTTAAATACAGAACATTGATGGAATTTTTGAATCATTCTTGCATCGTTCAATATTTTTTATCGCAACTTCAGTGAGAAGAACCAGGGGAAACTCATAAAAGAAAATATAAATCGAAAGCAGGTCTGATGAATCGTACAAAGATTTCCTTTACCCCCAGATTACAACGAAATTTTCTTTTTCGCGAACCTCCAAGACCTGTGGTGGATTGATGTGCAAGGTCAGCTTAGCCTCACGATTCCATCACAGGACTAATGAGAAGATTGGACAGGTGTAAAAGGTTCGACGTTAAAAAGCACCCACTTTCCAATACCTTCCATCGCATCGTTTCCTCGAAACGCAAAAAAAAAGAGAACAATTTACAAATGCGAAAGCACACGAACGAAAATTCAAAAATGAGCAAACGCAAAACATAACGAGTATCCACTTGAACTAGCCTTTAATCTAAAGTAATCAGATGCTCTTCTGACGTTTTCCTTTTTTATTCGTGCGCTCTTTCAAAAATTGCAGGCAATGTGTAGACTCTTTTTTTTTTAGCAAGAATTGTTAGGCCGAAAAAACTTGGAAGTTTTCTTGGGGTAAACTCGGCTCATCACAAACCCTCATTTATTTTTTATTAAAGATCAAAAAGAAAGTTTTACATCACAATGATTTTCAACTCACAGAAGTGATGTTTCACATGTTCTATGTGGAAAGAGAGAAAGTTTATGGCATACTTTCGATATGCTGTATAATATTCTTTTGAATGTATTGCACGCATCGGACTCGAGTATGTTGTGTTTTTCAGGGCTTAATTCTCAAATTTTTTTCTCAAGTACGTCCTACGTAAATCTCACCCCGGTACATTTCGATCTTTTTGATACAGTACTTCATTTTTACATGTACCTGGATCTAGCGTACTTCAGTACGCATTGTAAATACAGTATCCAGAAGAAACTGCAGCTGCTGATTTTTTTTAGCACTCGCACGTCTGATAAAAACCGAAGCTTACATAAGCGACTGTAACTTTCTGCGGAACCCTATGCATCGTCTTCGCTGGCAATATACTCAGTCTTACGCATATGAGCCTGTGCCGCAAAAAAAAAGGAATCTTCTTCCCACAGGAAAGAAGAATCAGGTCGAGAGGATCAACCCAGCCGGGGTCACCTCACCGCGCGTCGCGTTTATTAACACCCGCAGGGTTCCAAATCCTTGCGGCCGTTTCCCGCGGCTTTTTCCTCACAGTAAGTACTTTTTTAATTTAATAAAATCTTTCGCATTTTCACTCACTTCTGGCTTAAGTTATCATCAAAACCATGAGAAAAAATTGAATCGGTTAATGAACTCAGTGGGGAGATTGGAGCGGACTTTTTGCTAAATCTGTTCTATGGCCATCCGATAAATAAGTGTGCTTTCAGTACAATTAAATGAAGTTCTCCGCTGAAAGGAAGATTCTTTCGAAATTAGACCTGTTTTCAGAATACAGTGAGTTCCTTTGAAACGAACCCAAAATGTTCCTTTGAATTTTTAACTGAAAAAATGCGTAAATTGTAACGTTTTGGACTGAAACAATATTCTTTTTAAAATCAAGAAGAAATAGAAAAGCAGTTTCGAATCTTTCTTTATTTATAATGAGAGAAATACAGAAAGTTACGTGCAAGAGTTGCCAGATTAACTTCAATTTCATGCAAAACAATATTAAATCATTAATTTTCTGCGGAAAAATGCACAGATATTACGGTTTATTATGGCTGGAATGATCTACAATGTACCCTTGAGAAAAACGCGTTTCACATAATTAAAATTTGGCAGAACGAAACTCATCCAGGAACAGAGTACTCTTGTCATACGGCGACCAAATGTAAAATACTTATTACTGCAAATTAATGTATCCAATAAAATTACCGCGAAATATCAAGAGAAGCAATGTTTTTTTGCTTTTTGATGCCATATTCACTCACATCTATGGCTATAATTCACGCAGATATCCTGGGCAAAATAATGAATTACACCGAGAAAGACATTGGTCGTAAAAAAAATTAAAAGTTAAAATTTATGAATAAGAGTTTTTTTCGGTAATAAGTTGGGAATTTTTCTGCAATAGAAACATTCCAAGGATGCCGGAATGAGTCGCATGAAATACTCGCGTGTCGAGGAATCCCGATCACTGCAATTTGTAATACTGTGCGGTACAGTATTAGCACATGCGTAGGTGGTCAGGTCGCGGGTTTTCATGATGCAATAAATCATGTTCCTGCAGATATTCCTAAGAGCTTTCAATGAACTCTTTAAGGCTATCCTATATCGCGTTATTCATCTTATGACATCGATATAAAGTTTAATGCAGGCTTATGGCGTTTCGTACCAATTCTCTGAATGTAAGTTTTTAAGTCGCTTTCAGTTTTTTATAAATGCTGTGTGTTTTATCGAGTCGTGATAAACTCGTGCAGTTTAATTTCTATTCAAACTGTGCAATAAAAACTTGAGTGAACAGTTGAGCGCGTCCCAAAACAGTGATTACTCAAAATAGCGTTTAAATTTTTCTGGGTTTATAAATAATGCTTTTTTCTGGCCCCTTGAATTTCGTTGTACAGAGAGGCTCTACCTGTATAACGTATAAAAAAAAGGTTTCTCAATCTCAGACGATGATGCAATGCTAAAATTTGCAACCCGAACAGGTTCTGACAGTGGGAGGATATTGGCGATTTTTCTGGGACCTGGCAGCACGTCCAGCGAAGTGGGCGAGATTTCTAAAATCTGGAGCATCCTTTGCACCTTTAGACCCAACAACTGCTGCTGCTGCCTATGACGTAGACTTATTCGACGTCGACGTTGACGACTCCGACTCGCAATCGACACTGTCACCGCCAACAACCTTGTGCCTCAGCGTGACGTTTGCCATTCTGGTTTACAGCAT